TGACTACGCCTCCTTCGAGCTGTGCTTACCATGGCCACGTGCAGCAAAGGCACAGAAGACAGTTCGGAGTAGGCATCGAAGCTTTCAAGTGTGCCTGATACCATGCTGATGAAGAAGTGATGAAGCCGCATTCCCTTCAGGTGTCCAATACGCCGGTCATGTAAATCAACCAATAGCAGGATGACCAGCACGAAGATTCTAGGGGGCGTTCCGAGTTTTATAGGTACGGCAGCAAGAAGTTGACGATGATGGCTCACCGCTCGCAAATGCAACACAGTTCGCTCCCGAAAGCACTTGTAGCCTCCAAGCAATGCTTTGACTGATGCATCATGCCGGCCGCTGATACTATGTCAGAGATGGGTGTTACGAACTACACATGTAGGTGTGGGAAGTGTATAAGTGCGCATTACCTGTAAAGGAGGATCCTTACGAGTTGACCAACTAGATTGACGAATACTTGTCTTCAACGTCATTAGCTGATAACGGTTGACGTTTCAAGCACGGAGACGTGGGGGTAGAGTCGGTTGCATCAAATTCTCAGACAACCTTCTGTAGATCCCCGGGAAGACCGGAAGGTAAGATGACACGCATCGCGAGGCCACACTGCATCAATGATAGAATCAATAATATTTAATGGAGGTGTTGAATGGAGCAGTGGACCTACCCGTTATACCAGTTAGACATCGTACAATTCAACCCCATTTCTGAAATATGACTTACATGGAGCACGCCCACTCACTATCCAGCATAGAAATTTTCCTCGGTGGATCTGCGGACAATTTTAATGGTAATCATTATGCTGCAAACCCTCATTCTGGTTCTGAACGTGTTGTTTGTTTGTGTTAGGATCTAAAGCTCGGAGGCTAGTGTGTCACTGGTCACGGACTTGATGACTTCAAGTTATGAATATTTCAGCCACTCATGTGCTACACTGGCTGGACGACTCCTGATAAAATTACGGGGAGAGGATATCTGCTATCTCACTCTCGCCTGAAAGATTCTGAGGACACGGGCTTTTAAAGGAGTTGTGCACAGTGCAAACTGTGCTCAACTAGAGTCTTCGCCTGGAGCTGAAAGGTGAACGACTTCGAGGACAATAACGCTCTTTTTCGACTGTGAGATTTCTATATCTAAAATTTTGAGGAGTTAGAGTATCAAACTGTTACTCCGGGATATGAAAAGTTTGCAATGGACTAAAGTGAGTCATTTCCCCCCAAATCCCCGCCTTCATAGCTCCGTGAAATTTTATTTCAGTGGATATCTCTCTCTGCGTACACAGGGCCCGTTTTACACAATCCATTGGACATATGCTGTTCGTCGTCCCCATTTCCTCTTGAAGCTTACTGTCACACCCGAGCACGCCCTTGATAGTGGAAGGGGCCCCAAAAACATTGACATTGGCCATCTGCTCAAGAAGCACTATGTAATCCGCTTAATGCGGGCAAAAGGTTTACATGGCGCTTTCGTTTTCATTCTCGCATCTTCGGGATGACAGCTTCGAGAGCATGTGCTTCCGTACTCCGCCGAGATGTTGTCTCAACCTACTTGGAATAGACGTACCTTCCAAGGAAATTTTGTACTATACCCACATAAATTCTTGACGCATTCGCAAAAGATGGAGATTTATCAAGACACCTGCCGGAGCGTTACTCTTGAAGTGACTTCCATCATAGAAGATATCGTCAAACTTGGGACAAAGAATGGTGGAACGCTCGAAAGATTTGCGCACGCACATTGATGATCCAAAGTGGGTCTACCGATCGCAACATGGGTTTCCAAGACGCTCTGCGCAGCTTCACGATGACTTTACTGCCAACCAAAAGGATCAGTTGACGATGCCCGAGTGCCAAAGCCGGCTAGGCTGATGCAGAGTTGTCGAATATGCGGAGAAGAACTAAGGCGTTGTCTTGGTGTGTTTTCAGAGTCTAGCAAACACACTATTGACACTTACTGGCGAAATGTTCCTGAAATAGGTAAAGATCGACAAAGAAGGGATTAGTTGCCGAGTAAAGCGCCACCGCCCACCAAGGAGATCGAGAAGACAATAATCGAGGGTAATCGTACCTATTGCCGTTCTTGGGCGTAGCCACACCAAAACTTCTGTCTCACAGTGCCTTCAAGCCTTGTGGTCCCCGCTTCACGAGCACAACTGCCGTTCCCGTGCGCTTGCTTCTCTATTTAATTATGCACTCACGTGGCAAACCAGGAGTGACGATGCTCTAGGGAAGAAACTCACACCCGTGTCCTTGCAAATCAAGAAGATTCCCAGCCCCGGGAAGGACCACAATGTTGTTGTGCATAGCCGACAAGTATGGATTACGCTCGATTTCATGATTGTCGTGGCGCTGGACCTACTTAAGGAACAATCACTTCGGCCACTTCGTGAATCATTACGGGAAGACGTGATGTTTCCAAAATGGCTTCAACCCACCGTGCCTTCCTCGTGTTGGGTGTGCTTGGGTTACTAATTGAGCGTTCGATTGACCACCAGCGACAATCCATCACATATCCGACTTTCGGTGACAGTTGTTAACTCTTCGATCTGATACTGGCCATTAATGCGCATGAAGACGTCATAAAGCAGTTCGTTCGTATACTTCTGAGGAGCTTACCGAGACTTGAACACGAAAATGGACCTGCAAAATACTATTGACAGCAGAACGGGCGGCCGCTGGGTTCGTCAGCATCCTTGGTCTTCGGCAGTCAAGTCGAAAGAAGATTGAGCGGTCGTGCACATGCCCGACACTACGTGCCTCGCACAAAGAAGCTTGCGTGAAGAAGAAAAATACGATAAACGGCTCGCGCCACGGACTCCTCCCGGAATTTGATCTGGTCGATGTCACCGGAAACAGGCATCGGACGCGCCGGAAAGCGAAAAAATGCTTGAGAATGCTCTCATTGTCGGCAGACGTATTATCGTGCATCTCCCATGTCACGGTGGCGCGCAAGATTGCCCTCCTGTGCTGCTGAACTTCGGAACCGTATTTCTAGCCGAACAGTTCTTCTGGACAGCTGTACTCCTTGATAAATAATATCCGACGGAACACAAGCTTCAATCCGCAAGAATGATTTACTCAACCAAGTCACGCGTAATTTCTCTACATGATGCTGCATATTAATCGTGTTGTAGTAGGTACTACATACTCTACTAGACCACGCACTTTATCACGCAAAAACTAGAGGGGAAACCCTTGTGACTTAACGTCCCTCACCGCTATTGCTTTCTTCGTCAAAGAGTCTTTAAAAACGGGATCGGCGTCAGACACAAAGTTAACCCCGGGCAATTCAAAATCCCACGACTCAATTGTCGGGGCTGACCCAAATCGTTGCGCTCTTCATTCACTTTCATATCCTTCAGGACCCACCACCATATAGGAGCAGGTCTTTCTGAATCTTTCTCGCCTTCATCAGAAAGAGTTTTATCACCGCATATATATTCTCGTCCCAACGGATCCTGTTGCCAGTGAAGTTGTGTATTCTTTTTTACTGATCTCCCATTGGAAAGTGACATCGACCTGCGCATACCCAGCAGGAACCTCGTTACGATTACAGAAAGGACATAAAACACCGTCGAGCATCAATGAGAATTCTGACGAAATTTACTATCCGGTTGTACTAGGAATACTGTCTCGCGAGACAGAAAACATTTCCACTCACGATCCACTGGCCTTTCTCAAACACCATGAAGGCCGTTATCTAACCAGACGACCATGTTTTCCCGCTTTTGAGGCGTTCGTAATGGGAAACGTTGCTCCAAAAGTTCAACTGTTGGGATCACCGAAGGCTTTGAGGAACCCCGACAGTACAGGGTGCAGATGGAGGTCCTAAGTATCGGTTTTAGAGCCGAATTCTTAGAGCTTCTCAATTCTATTTGAAACATACTCCCAACCGCTCTTGTCTCTTTTCACAGCGAGGACTCTAGTCGTCGAAAGGGCGGGTATGATCCACTATCGGAGCTCCAGATCAATGACATTCTCCTGCGTCTGTTCGTTTATGGTTGCAACGAACATGCAGACCACGCGATCCTAGGTCTTTGCTCTTCTGCATCACCATCGTCGATTCTCTCTTGCCTTCGCGAAATAATGTTCGAAAGACTACTGCCAGATGTCATTTGGGCGAGTAATTGACTCGATGTTCGTCATAACACTCCAAGTTAGTGCGTACAAAGCCGTTCCACTGAGGTTTCGAGTACTCAAAGGGGATGCCCACGGAGGAATGAAGGTTTTAAAGGTTTCATGCATACACGTCGGCACATGCCTGCTCTAAAATTGCAAGGTCGACATACTCTGGGTTTTTGGAATGGCGAGGGGCTGACGAGAGCGTCATTGACGAATCGCGTTTGGTTGAGATAAATTAGACGAAGTGCTCAACGCCGTGTCCGGTGAAGGATAAGATGATGTTAGGAGATGTCAATGTTTCAAGTGTCTCAAAGCCATCGATATGCTGGGTCCCCCGTGTAGGAAAGCGTGCCAGAGGAAAGAATCATACATTGGATACACCCCATGTTTCTGAGGTGTCCGATGCGGACAATTAGCGCATGCAACGAAGTACCGAGGTGGTTGTTCTATTCACTGATTGCCCACTTCGAAAGGCCGCAAGTCACTGAGACTGCTGTAGTCTGCAGGTAAAGAGTAGCATTATTGTTTATTAGTATAAGAGAAGTCAAATTTCTCCTCCGTTATCATGATTGGACAGAGACGGGGCGTAGCCTGCTGCAGCAGGTGGCATGGGGCAAATAGCTGATACTTCGTAAGTTCGCGGGTTTCAGAAGGGCATACCTGAGTCCTCCAAGCTTCATTATGTGTCATGGCCAAGTTACACAAGCCAGATACAGGAATTGAGTATTAAATATTGAAGCTTGGCAAGATGAATTATAGTATGACTATGGCGTCAGAAAATATAGTGTTAGAATACCTGCTGCAGTAAAGAAAGAAGTGTGTTCACTTACACATGTATGCTTTACTTACTGGATATTGATTATCGGCTCCTAAGAAAAAGAATCCGACCTGCCTGGCTCGAACAGGCGACCTCAAGATGACATTTTACCAATTACAGTCTCGCGCTCTTCCAACTGAGCTAAGGTCGGATACTTATCTGTAAAAGTTTTTCTACCTTTACCATTAAACAGCGGCGATAGACAAGTATCCTTTTGACGTGGTTTGAGGTCTGAATAGTAGTCCCCATGATGGCCTTCATTCCAAGGCGTCACCTTCTGACGAAGGTCTTCATCGCTTTGACTCTGATCTTGGGTGCGAAACTCTTACTTAGCCCCCATTCATCCTCCTTGGACCCATCAGTCTTCCAATCCTACAACGTCTTTGAGCGCGTTACGGGTGTAAACAAGGTTCTGAATGTCCGGAAGTACAAATTCCTGCAAGGGAGGACGGGGAGAGATGTCAGGAAGGATATCCTTGACGATGTCATAGCCAACGGGGTCACTGATTATTGGAATCGGTTTCAAGCACCATTGTGAGTGGTCCTCCAAGCTACCGTGATATCTGACGCGACGCTCCACTAGAATAATGGGAAAGGACACCGCTCACGCAGATCTCCAGAACGTTTTGACTGCTGTCGAGAGCTTGCTATCTCTTAATGGTTGGGTGGCCGCGTATTGTCCGACACTAGCTCGTCCGTTCGGACAAAATAAGAACGTCGACGAAGATGCTTATGATGACCTGGCCAATGATGACCGGCTTTATTTCGTAGCAATGGCAATTCATTCAGCTGATCATTTCCTGGTCGATCAACTGGCTGTCATCGTTCAACTTGCTAAGCGACTGGGTACTTCCAATGTCTTTGTGTCTATGTTGGACTATGACTCTACAGATTCTACGGCCACTCTTACCGACCTCTGTGAAGCTGTTCTGACCCTTTTGGGTGTCTCCTTCCGAATTCGACGCGTGCCTGGGATGACAGAAGACGCAACCGCAGCTTACTATCCCCTGGAAGAAGCCTACATGCGCAACCTTGCATTAGAGCCTCTTCTTGAGCTTTACCAGAAGCGCGAAGTTGAATTTCATCGGGTCATTTGGTTGAAGGGATTTACATGTCCAAATGACATCCTCGAGACACTGCGTGTCAGCGTTGCAAACGAGGCTGCCATGGTGTGTGGGATGGACTGGGCAGAATCCAATGGGCAGTTCATATTTTCTGACAGGTCGGTTATCCTTTTTCTTTTGGTTATAATTTGAGCGACATCATCTAATACTTTTTTTTTGAGGTGGCGGACACGAGACATTCATGGCGACCAATTCAGGCAATCCACATCTTCAGCGAAACCAGACGCAGTCCCTCCTCGAGATGAGAGCGGTGCCGCCCGATACATCCAGCATCTTCCCTTCCAAGTCTTCTGCTGTGAATCAGGTACCCACATCATCGATCCAGCTCAATCCTACTACAAAGGGCTCAAGTACCGCTGCGGTACCGATTTCCACAACGCGTCCTCCTCGTCGGACAGCATACCCACACGCGCAGCCGATGCACCATGTCTGGATAGCAGCCAGGCCTGGTTCTGCAGAGATCTGTGGATCAGAAATGCACTAAATGAGTTCCACGAGGATGAGGCCATACCCACCTCTGAAGTCCGGCCGCTGTTACGCAGGCAAGTCCCAGACGAGGAGCCAGATGCAGACGTGAACGCTGGCTCTGATTACGATGCCATGCCGGACTCAGATATACCCATTGATATGCTCCCTGCAGCGCACCTGTCTGTGCCTAATTCTGCATACACTCCCGCACGCATCCTGGTGAACCCCCGCTGTGTAACGACGTATGCTGGTGTGAGTCATACCCAGCTTGCGCTCGATCTTTTCGGTACAGAGGATGATGACGAAGCTCAAATCAATGCCACAAAATATGTATTAGAGGACTGGGATGGTGCCCCAGAGAGCTTCGTGTGTCAGGAACAAAGGTACATACTCCGCTACTTTATTTGCCGCTCCTTTAACACTGTTGCAGGCAAACTGGAGGCAGGAAGGCCGCCAAAACCCAGCGCTTGCTTGGATTTGCTATTCATGATGAATTGCGATAGAATCGATTAAAATCAACTGCTCAATGTGTATATATCATGTATCTAGCAGCTTTGGTCTTCTTGTGTGAGCAGTCTGAGTGATATCGTGGAACTACGGACTATTTCGTTCTTCTCTTTTTGCTGAAGCCTTTAAACGTGACACCATCATCAGAATCATCATCAGCAATGACATGCCTGCGTTTACTGGCTCGGGCACGAGCAGCAGGCATAGAAGGCGCTAACAATTGTTCCTCGGAGGACCCAAAGCCTGCACCGTCTTTGCCGTCATCATCAGAGTCCAGAAACAATTTCTTTGTCTCCTTTGTACGCGCTTGCTTGCGAACGGGTTTCTTGATGGTCTCAAGAGTTTGTGACTGGGTGTCCTCGTCAGAATCGATCGCCAGCGCACGGCGCTTGCCTTTGCTTCGCTGAGTCCCATGTTCGGTCACCTGCGAGTCCTTAGTGTAATCTTTGGTGTCTTTCCAGTAACCTGTAAAACGATAAGCTCGCTCCTTCGAAGGAGCAACTGAAGCACTGACCTGCGCCCATGCCGTAGTCATTCTCCTCTGCAAGCACGAGGTTGATCGGCGGACGACGGGGTCCATTTATTTTCTACCTTGCGTCAACAAGGTCCTCAAAGGCACCAATACACCTGACGCTTACCTTCTTAAATTTCTTAAAATTCGGTACGTTCGTGTTAGCGGAGTCACGAGTGTCATTCGCAACAGCCTTGCGATAGCGGTCCGAGTACTTGTACACTTCCAAATTCTCAATGACCATAAAGTTCCCTCTGATGTTTGGGAGGTCGAAGTCCCCCATATCCGTCCATGGTTGTTCCTCGCGCTGCAGATCCGGTTTCGATATTCGCAACTTATTGAACTCGCGGTCAAATTCGTCCTCGGTCTTCTTCCCGCGCTTCTTCGAAGCAACGGCAGTGAGGAAAGCCTCGTCCTTGTCGACAACGTGCTTGCCGCTGTCAGCGGCTTTCTTGGACTTTGCTGTGGTCCGGGGTTGTTCTGATAGCTGGCGCGACAGAGGTGCCTTTGACTTTGCCCTAATTTGGGTGGCTGGCATTTGCCCCTCTTCCACCGGTGGCGGAACCTCAAATGCAACAGACTGGGCCCGCTGTGAGGGCCCGCTCAGGCTCTCTTCTTCCTCTGCTACAATAGGTAATCGTTTTGGCGGTGCGAAGGCAGGCGACTGTACTGTCTGTGTGACGCTCTCACTTTGGGTGCCTACCACATTGTCATAGGCTGCGTCAAAAGCCTGCGAGCCCTCGAGAATTATTTTATTTGGGTGGCTCGCCTCAAATAAGGCCTTGAACTTCTTGTGCGGGGGTTCTTCCTCAACTTCATCGACGTCGATGGTAACAACAGGTATGTTGATCTCGGGAGGCGGGACTCCTGGCACTCCAGGCAATCCTAAGCGGCGTTTCAGGCGCGGGCGACTGCTCGACGGTGGCTTCTAAATGATCAAATAAGGATGTTGTGTAAATGAAGAGCAGGCCAGGCATACAGGTGCTTGTGTAGATTCAGATTTAGCTTTGTCAACATCTGACTCTGGCTTGTTGAAATCCATCAAAGATCCTTCGCTTGTCTCAGTTGGTAGAGGCACTCGTCGCACCAGCTGCGGTTTCTCAGTGGAGCCCCTACCTGCATGCAAGCTTGGTACGTACCTTTCGCTTCGGCTTGATCGGCGGAGACTCGGGAATAACGGGAGGCTCAGGTGAGTGCATCACAGAATCCTGTTTTCCGCTTCCGGGAGAGACAGCGCGTTGGCTTCGAGCCTTGAATATTTCTTGGTCTGCGCCATCTGAGAAAGATGGCTCGTCTGGGTGAGTATTAGGAATAAAGGAAGGCAAAGGAGAAGAGTGGCTTGATTCTGCATGAATGGAGACGACCTTAGTATAACGGAGCATCGAAGAAAATTATGATGAAAAAACCTTGTGAACCACTTCCGGAGGATGCGATGCGAGACACGTCCACATGAACAACAGCTTCAAGAACTGTCTCCAGTTGAACGACATACACGCTCAGGCTATTAAGCATATTTATCAGTGAAGTATCTTCAGGTGATTCATGTCACCGACCTTGCAGCATCTGCAACCATTTCCCTCCACTTCTCGTCATCAACAGCCCTCTGTATTACACTATCCTTGGCCAACACGACCAGCCCCTTCCCTGCCCCTCTCAGCTCTTCTACTTTCCTCTTTCCCTTAGCAATTACCTGCCTCCACTTTGTGAGCCCCGCCTTCAGATCGAATCCTTCATATTCTGCGCCACCCCTTACTACCAGGTCCCTCAGCTCTGCATCAACTTTTCCGTCCTCTGCGGGAAGAACGAAGCGGAAGCCCCTTAGTAAATTCAACCTCTCTTCATTTGGCTCCCAATGCTTGAAGCCCTTAAGCGCAGGAGGGAGGGTAGGTCCAAATGCGGGACGGTACTTGCTCTCAATGGGTAGGACGAATGACTTTTCGAGGGCAGTCAAACCAAAAGAGTCGTTTTCTGCAGGAGTACTGCCAAGTCGCACAAGCTCTTGCAACCATTCGGGCTTGACAAGTTGAGCGGCGCAGAGCAAAGAGGTCATAACTGGGGTTGTCACTTCATACTTTGGTACGATGAGATGGGTGAGAAGCTCGTGTGCAGAAGCAAGTGTGTTAATACCTGTATGCGGTGTCAGCAAGCCCACTTGAATTGGGGACGACACGAACCGATTGAAGCGCAGTCTTCAGAGGAAAACGAGGGCATGCCTCTGACTGGAGGGACAAAACATGCTATGCGTCGCCATCGTACTCTAAACACTGTATTAGACTCTATGAAAGATAGAGGATTTTGGGTCACATACTCTACCACGATACCAGCAACGACCGTAATGTGGTCTCCATCTTCAAGAGTAATAGAGGCTGACGGATTGCAGGCCACGTCCCCTCTATGACCTCTTACCATGAGGCTCTTGAGCTTAGTATTGACTAGTTCGAGTGTGGGAACGTATGATGGATCGGCCTAGGGGACTGGTGAGATGGGCTTTGCATTGAAATTTGGTTCGTACCATGTGATCTGGCGTGTACGGGCCCACTC